GTTTGAATAGATTAGTTGAAATACTTTTTGAAGTAGGAAGAGCCATTTACTATGAATTTGCTTCTTTAGCCCATAGCTGGTTTCCTTTCCCCTTTTGACCGGGAACAAACCTTTGATTCACAGCTGGAGAAAGTCCACAGTCTCTTCCGGCGACAGTTGGCGATCCCACTCTATGGTAAGAGACCCTGATGTGTCAACGGATGGCCCTCATTTTTAAAAACACTTTGGGGTATGTTGTGTAATTAGGCCTTTTCGCAGCGTGCCATGAGGCAAGTGTGTCCGGTGTTCTTACTCTCACTGGATGGTGTCACTGTGGGTGAGGCCTTTGGTGAAAACATATCTTGAATTGTTAATGCTCGAAGGTCAGAGACAGGACTAGAAGGAAGACCTCCTGACCTCCACTTTCTTACATTAAGATGTTGGAGAGGCAAAGATAGAGACTCTGCAAGGAATTGGGAAACTGAGCCCTTATATTTTCTGGGGAAACGTTATTGAATTAGAGGTCCCCTAGGAGCATTTTGTCTTCAGGAGTAACCTCTTCCATAACAGAAAGGGGATTTAACATGGGCTTACATAGCGAGCATTCTTCTGTGGGGGCGATATTGGTTTAGTTGATTGAATGTATTCTTATCTGAATTTCTTGGGAGTTTGATAAGGATTCTCCTGTTTTGGCTGAATGTATTTTTGGCAAGCCAAGCCTTTGAGGTCCTGGTGCTTGAGCATGAGCCACGCTGGAAGGGTTTTTCCGAGCATGGGGAGAGTTTGGGGCTGCCGTCTTATTTGTTCTGTGGGCATGGCTTTGGGTTTTGCACCCCATAGTCTCAGAACCTCTAGGCAAGTTTACTTGAGTCCAGATGTTATTCCTATTTTCACTTTATGGTTTATTTGGATTGGATTTAACAAATTATAAAGTGGTTCTCCAGTCAAATCCTTGAGTGACATGAAAAAAAAGCTAGAACTGAGCTGGTTTGTAGATGTCATCTCATGTGTCAGTATGAGGCAGCAAAACATAGTGAGTAGAGCATGAACTTGAACCAGACTGCCTGGCTTCAAAGCCTTGCCCTCCTGTTACCTGTAGACTTGACGTAACCCCTCTGCTTGCATTTCCTCAACTGCAAAATGGGGATCACGATAGCATCTACCACATAGACTTGTGAGGATTGAATGAGTTAATGTATGTGAGGTGTTAGAACACAGGAAGCACTAGGTAAGTGTTAAAGCATTGTTATCAGTTCAGTTAACTTGGCTTGATTAATTAGTGTGTAGGGCTGCCTGGGGCAGTGCTTTCAGAGTCGAAGGCCACCGGAAGAGCTCAGGATTCAATCATAAGAATTGCTGTGGTCTCAGATGTGGGAAGAGCCAGTGGCACTTGAGTCTAATGGTTTAATCTGTGTTTGAGCTGATAAAACCTAATGGTAAGACCCTGGGGATGAATCCATCTTTCAATAGATATGGAGGCAACATTTGCAGAGTATGAAGAGTGGTCGGAAGAACCAGTACCGGAGTCGGTAATTCAGAACTATAACAAAGCACTACAGCAGTTGGAGAAATACAAACCCTATGAGGAAGCGCTGGTAAGTGTTGGCTTCTTTTACAGTAAACTTCTATCGACATACGTTTCCCTAATCCATAGTCAAAGTAATACCGTGTCTTTAAAATTTGTTTTATTGTGAAATATATAGAGTGTATAAATGTATACATACAGTTTACATCCTAATAATAAAGTGAACGTCCATGTACCCACCACCCAGGTTAAGAAATAGAACATTGCCAGTACCTTAGAAGTCTCCCATGTGCCCCTCTCCGATTGCCTCCTCCTCCCTCTCCCGAGAGGTAATCACTTTCCTGACTTTCGTGATAATCGTTCCCTTGCTTTTCTTGATAGTTTTACAACCTATGAACATATCCTTAATTAACATACTGTTTAATTTTGCTCATTTTTGAACTTTTATATAATGAAATTATGCTGTGTTTTCTTTTATTCAACCTATTTTTGGATTTTACTCCTGTGGATATAGTTACAGTCCATTTGTTTTCACTACTGTAGAGTTGTGTGTGCACACTGCAGTTAATTTATCCGCATTCTTAGAGGGGTTTCCAGTTATTTTTGCGAGGAGAAGCAGCGTTGCTCCCACCATTCCTGTAGGTACCTTTTGGTACATGAGAAGAGGAGTTTCTCTAGAGTGGATACCTGGGTGTGGAACTGCTGGGCCACAGGGTCACGCTGAACTGTTTCCCAGGCTGTCACTTCACGCTCCGGCAGTACCAGAGTTCGCACTGCTCTAGCCAACTTTGGGTATTGACACACTTAAGTTTCAGCCGGTCTGATGGATCTGAAGTTACAGTTTTAATTTGCATTTCTTTTATCTCTAACTAAGTGGAGCAGCTTTTCACATCTATTGGTCGTTCAGATTTCCTTTTTTGTAAAGTGTCTGTGAAAGTCTTTGACTTATTTTTCTTTTGGTTTGT